TTTTTTCGTGAACATATAATTTGATATGTTTTTAGGCCGCCACAGACTCTTCCCCAAAGCTCTGTGTGTGAATTTCGCGTTAGAACTATCTGTAATCATGACTTCTGGTCATCTAGAATAAGAATCCACTATAACTCAAGCATAGTATGAATTTAGGAATGGACCACAATAATTCTCATGAATACGCTGCCAAGTCTCACAAGACGCAAGCTATGGTTCCCATGATCACTTCCCATAGGATATTTTATTCAAACGACTGGAACAGCTCTTCGATCTTTTGCTAATGTCAGCATCGATTTCCGGCCACCAGCACTTTAGGCGTGCTAATGATTTCATCTTATCAGCTCCCAAATGAGCAGAATGGAAAGCATTCAAAATCTCAGATCTTAATGTCGGAGGAATAATAATTCTATCATTCAGACATAGCAATCCTCCGGGATGGACTGAAATCTCATCTCTCCGCTCACAGAAGTCCGGAAATCTCCGCTTACACTAGATATTCCGACCGCTTTTTGTTGGATTTATAATGCTGCCGTAATATTTTCGGGTATCGTGTATGAGTCGAACGCTATCCACAGGTAACAGCTGGACTGACAGACAATCAGTGTCACTAGGAGAATTTTCAAATAATGAATAGCGAGATAACAAGTCTTCATGAGGTATATCCTTAGCCGACCTGTGTTCAATAGTGTAGTCATATGCACTTAGTTCTAAACTCCATCTTTGAACCATAGTAGCAGATGACCTATCCAAAGATTTTTCTGGGTTGTAAATGAATTTCAAAGCCTGATGATCAGTAACTATGTGTAACTTAGTACCAGAGAGATACTTGCGCAGGCGTCTTATTGCCCATACAACTTCTAGAGCCTCTTTCTGGGTTTGTGAGTACGCTTGTTCACTCTTACTTAGACGTCTTGAAATACAAATTACAGGTTGTCCATTTTGCTCAAGTACTGCACCTATACCCGTAGGAGAAGCATCTGTAATGAGAATGGACTTATCTTTCGATGAAAAAGGTCTTAAGAAAGCTTGTTTATTCAGAAACTCAAAAGTTTTTCGCAAGATATCTTCATGTTGTTGTTCCTACTTAAATTGTTTACTGGAGACAATATCAAAAAGTGGAGATAACAGTTGAGTGAAACTGGGAATGAATCTGGAGTAAAACTGAAGAGTACGAATCCATGATCTCAACGACGACATATTATTAGGTGACGGTGCTTGAATTAGAGGTGCCAGAAGACTAGCATTAGGTCTGAAACCCTTGGAGTCTACTGTGTATCCCAAGCATGATACAGACGACAAGAATATTTTTCTCATAGAAACGTCTGAACAGTTTTAAGAGACGTCCATTATGCAATTCAATGTTTGGTCCATGAACTATGATGTCATCTTGGTAAGACTCAAAACCATCTAATCCACCTATCATCCGACTTATTGCTTTTTGAAATATTGCAGGTGAAACCTTCAAACCAAAAGGTAAGAACTTATACTTGGACAATCCAAATGGAGTATTAATGGTTGTTAGTGCTCTAGACGCTTCGTCCAGAGGAATTTGTAAATAAGCATCTTTTAGATATATTTTGGAAAAGTATTTTGAGCCATGTAGCTTGTAGAGAATATCTTCGCTTTCTAGCGTAGTGCAGCTTTGCTGTAGTAGATGACTATTGAGTGTAAGGCGATATTCACCACAAATTCTCGGTGTTTTTCCGTCAGCCTTTAGTGGCGTGACAATGTGAGTATCCCGATTCGAAGATTCAACTGGCATAAGTATGCCCTGCTCAACCAACTTGTCTAACTCTTTCTTAACTGCATCTCGCAAACCATATGGAATTAATCAGCGCTTCAGGAAGACAGGATCACCCTCTATTTTAAGACTGATGGGCTGAATCTTCATGCCACCTACACTCTTTGAATACTGGAAAACTAATTCCCTGAGCAAAGATTCATCAAACAACTCAGTGCAAAGCGAGATTTTGACATTCAACAATGTAAAGGCTTTTAATTCCAATAAGGATGGACCATATTCATTAACAAGAAAGGGGAATATTTACAAAAACATCACTTTCTGATTTTAAAGCAATGTTAGCAGTACAATAAGAGGTAGTTTATGACCAGTAATGTCTGTAATGGAACTAGAGGCAGGGTTTACTTGGGCATACTTACAAAGCGATAGTAAATCTTCCTTAGAAATTACAGATTCAGTACTCCCATTATCAATTACAAAAGAGTGAAACTTGCCTGAACTTGTAATGAAGGTTTTCACCAACTGAGAGTGAGTATTGTGAAAAGTTGAAAGAGACACTGACTTCATTTTACCAAACGAATTGGAAGAATCCTGTGAATTCTGAGTAGCATAAGTATTCGAACTTTGGCAAACAGACTTTATATGGCCTATCTTACCACATTTATGGCACTTAGCACCCGGAAATGTCAAGTACTTTGTAAATGAATCTTCCTACATGAAAAACACCATTTGATATTTTTGCTCTTTGCCTGCAATCCATTAGATGTGAATGACAGTTTGGATTCCTTTGTGTAAACACTTGCATTATCAACTTTGAACAGTATCACATCAGACACTGATATAGTGGGAGTTGGGTATTCACTGGTAATATCTTCATATGTAGTACATAATTCCTTAGCAGTCTGAAAGGTGCAGGAAGGAATCTGAACCAGCTCCTTCTCTATCTTCGAAATATTGATCCCAGAGATTGAACGATCACGGAGTTGAGCATGGAGCTAATCCCCAAAATTGTAGTTTGAAGCTTCTGTCTGAAGCTGAAGAATAAAGTCTAGAATGTTTTGGTTAGGAGCACGAGCAAGTTTGTTGAACTGAACCCCCTCTCGTATTTGAAAATAAGTAACACGAAAGTGATCTATTAGAAGTTCACAGAGCTTATCATATGGAAGTGAAATTGATTTATCTGGAAATGCGAGAGTTTTCAGTAGATTGCACGCATCTAGCTCAATGACAGTAATAAAATGAGCTAAAATTTTGTCATCACGAACATTCTCTGACATGCACCGTGTGTCAAAGCATTCAAGATAATGGGCGACTGCCCTAGGCGAACCGTTCATAGTAAACTTTCCAACATTATTTAAATCTTGTTCGCGAAGCCAAAAGGTAACAGTTATTTGTAATAGTATTGTAACAACAGAAGACAAGGGCCAGGCAACAGAACGTTTATTGCGGAAAATCAACACATATTTATAGATTTTGATGTACATTATTGTAGGTTAATGTTAGTAGAAAATACAGTCTGTTGATTGGTTGTTTCTCACAGAAAGTTAACCTTGCATCTCTTGTGGCTGTGTCAGTTCATCTATATGTTAACTGTATCCACCTGTCCATCTTGACCTTGTTTTCACATGACTAACATTGACCTCAATTACTGTCAACCAATTTGGCTAGCAACCATCTCTCACCACAGTATTTCTTGGTGACTTAATCCCGGTAAACGGAACAACAACACAGCAACGGCAGAGTTTAGGAATTTGTATTTGGCGGAAATATTTGTAATTTATTTGATAAATATTGACAAACAACAGTATTCATTTAAATAATACAGTAACAGAAATTATCAATCATCACAAGAATCCACAGAAGCGCTAGAAGTTTATTCAATTGACGTTGAGTCAATCTGGTTCGATCTGTCAATTCAGGCTTAAGGTTTTTTCTGTTGTGGTGAAAGGTGAATTACAAGAGCACACAGACCACTGCTCATCACACATTATCCAGCTGTCTTGACCATACAATATCTTTCACATACAATAAAGCATGAGTGGTAGTGAACAGCATTATCTATCTATCTATCTATCTATCTATCTATCTATCTATCTATCTATCTATCTATCTATCTATCTATCTATCTATCTATCTATCTATCTATCTATCTATCTATCTATCTATCTATCTATCTATCTATCTATCTATCTATCTATCTATCTATCTATCTATCTATCTATCTATCTATCTATCTATCTATCTATCTATCTATCTATCTATCTATCTACCTATCTATCTATCTATCTATCTATCTATCTATCTATCTATCTATCTACCTATCTATCTATCTATCTATCTATCTATCTATCTATCTATCTATCTATCTATCTATCTATCTATCTATCTATCTATCTATCTATCTATCTATCTATCTATCTATCTATCTATCTATCTATCTATCTATCTATCTATCTATCTATCTATCTATCTATCTATCTATCTATCTATCTATCTATCTATCTATCTATCTATCTATCTATCTATCTATCTATCTATCTATCTATCTATCTATCTATCTATCTATCTATCTATCTATCTATCTATCTATCTATCTATCTATCTATCTATCTATCTATCTATCTATCTATCTATCTATCTATCTATCTATCTATCTATCTATCTATCTATCTATCTATCTATCTATCTATCTATCTATCTATCTTCCTATCTATCTACCAGACTGCCTTTTTGTGTGATTTTAATTCAGTGGATGTCTAATGAATCCAACTATGCATTTGAATACTCTGCAGTTTCACGTATTGCGTAGTGGACATAAATGTTTTAAAAATCTTACTTTTGTCTCCATGACGTTTACTTCTGTGTTTTGATCGTAGAAATAGTGAAGTCAACAGTAGTTTTCCCATACAGAAGATTCCTTTAGTGAAATTATGCAAAATTGTTAGTACTGTATGAAATCACTAAATTCTACTCTTATTCTCCGTAAACTCTTCTTTTTATAAAAAATGGACAGCTCATGGTTTTAAACACACTTCGTTTGAGAATCCAAATATTTCATCAAGTGAGAGAAACATTTATCACTATTAACTGGATATCAGTTAACTTCGCTTTGTCTGCACCTGAATCGTATGATTTTATTTGAACTTCTATAAATAAGCTTATCTTTTCAGTTTATTAGGTCTAAAATATTCATCGATCGATTGAGCATATGACTAGCATTTAAACATGTATCGATTAGAACACTGAAAGACCAAAAATGATGTGCTTTAGAGCAAGAAAGTCTAAAACCTCCTTTGAAGAAGACGAATCTGAAGGATATAAAAAACAATATCGTGACAATACGATCAGAAAATCTCCGTCCCCACCATCACCATCACCACAGTTTCAACGAAGGGCGCAAACAGCAGATCGTCGGAGTCCATCGCCAGTTTCGACTTCAGTTTCAACAACTTCGCAGAGGTCACCACAAAAGCAACAAAAAAGTTTATCAGACAGACCAAATTCTGTTTTAAAACCTGCTAGTCGAAGTAAACCGAATGAAAAGTCTGGTAGATTACAGGCAAATACTACACCTGAAAAACCAAAGACTTTAATGACAAGAAACAGACATCGTACACTTCAAGAACAAAGCTTTAATATCTTAATGCGCTATGGACAACCTGCTTACGACAATCCTCTTCTCAATTGTCAGTAGATCGTTAATAATGACTTAACTGCATTTCTTAAGGATAAATTATTATTTAACTGAGGGAAATCATTTTCAGTCAACTGGATAAACAGTATTTATGTTTATTTCCTGTTCATTTCAGTATTAACTCTTAATTACTACTGAATTCGTGAAAAATTCAGTTTTTAAAAATTCTAATTGTGAAGATATACATTCCATAGCACAAATATACTTTCTCATAATTGTTTGCTTCAAAATGTGTTCAAGCACTTTTCAGGTAAACTTTTATGGTTTACTGGTGAGTGGAATAATAGAATATTTTAAAAGAAAGTGACATGAAAGCGCATACAGGTTCAGAGATTTATCAGAAATGAAGATGTGCTTGAATATTTTAGAAATAAATTACAAGATCTAAGGGCATACTCGATGAAATTCCTGGGAAAATACACTTTTGAAGGATTAACACAGCATGAAATTATAAATTTACCTATATGTAAAGTTAGTGTTGCTTAAGTTATCCTTAAATAACCGATCTATCGAATGAAGATTGATGCAGAATATAGTTTTGCATCAATTCAGTTAGTTGTGCTCTTAAACGGCATAGAAACAGAACGATAACAGAAGCAATAAATTATAAATAATTATAAGGAAAGTTGTTTAAAATAACAGAGAGGATTTTTAGCTCAGGTAGATGTCTTCGATGTGATTGTGTTCTGTGGAGCTGGTGGCTTAATTGCAAAGATTTCATTATCCTTTTAGAAAACATCTCCAGTGTTTACTTCATTGTGAGGTGAGTTTTCTGGAATTTTTCATGAAAAATATAACTGATCCTGGTGACAAACTTGGCTGTGACTGGTTGTCTTCAGGGGTCTTATTATTTCTTATGTTAATTAATGGTTTAACTGACCTAGAATTTGAACCTTTTATCATTTTTGACTTGTGAATTGTTCTTTTTCGGCCGATAAATTTGATCTATATTAATAAGTTTGTTGAGTAAAGCTTGATCCGATCACCAGGCTTCCAGGAATTCTCAGGTATTTCCAGTATTTATGTTGTCTAAAAACGCCAGGTAGATTTGCCCGTGAAGTAATTTGGCAGCCACTTCAACAGTTCACCAAACGTTTATAAGCCTTATTCAAAAGCCTTATGGTGATACCACATGTCAAGTGACCCACAGCGGGACACACAATGAAGCTGTTGAAGTGAAGAAAGGAGCAAAACAAGGCTGTCTACCATCACCAATGAAGTTCCTGTTTATGGTGGACTGGATCATACAACAGATCGTGCGGGGAGGGGTAGAACACGACGGGCGTAGGTTTGACCAAGAGGAAGACATTGAAAGATCTGAACTTTGTGGATGATATATGCCTAATGTAGCACAAACTAGAGGATCTACTGGTGATAACTAACAAGCTGGGGGGGAGGGAAGTCAACATAGACAGGACTTTGAGTGAACACAGAGAAGACACAGGTGGTGAAGATACTCTACTAACGAGGAAAAAGCAGTCACCATAAATGGAAGAAACCTGACTGAATTCACCTGACCTAAGAAGCATAGTTTCAAATACAGGAGGCAGGGACGGAAATTCTAGACAGACCTGTATTATTCCGAAATCAGTTTGGAGATCCACTGCGTTCGGCAGAGATAATAAGGTTCAGATTTTTAACACTAAAATTAAGTCAGTGCTTCTATATAGTCCAGAGAATTGACACTTGCGTCACTAAAAGCATTCTCAACAGCCTGCTACAGACTTCCATCAACAGCTGCCCTCTCTTCGTACTGAAGATCCGACGATCAGAAAGGAGAAGCGATATATTAGTGTGGCAACATACTAACCAAGAAACTACTGTACAAAAATATGCAGAAGGAAATGAAGGTTTATCGGGCATACACTGAGAAAACCTTTGAATGGCGTCTTGCACCAGGCAATCAAGTTTAATCTAAATGGGAGGAGACGAGTTGATACTTCTGAGAGTAACATGGAGGCGATTGTATGAAGTTAAAATGAAAGCTTATAGGCAGTCTCGAAGCCACCCAAAAAAGACTGTAGAAAACATAATGAGCTGGCGGTGTGCCACTGAGGCCCTATGTTCCATCAGAAACTGGTGGAACGAATAAGAATATCATGTTTGAAAACCACAGTCCTAATTAACTGGTCAAGAAATGTAATCCTAAAGATGGTATGCTTTCTTCCAACAACAAAGCGACTGCAATATCAAAGTTACCAACAGGATTCTAGCAAACAGTAAGATCTATTAATGAAAACATCTCATGATATATTAAACAAAATGTTGACGCTCCATTCTGTTTATTTCAGTCATCTGTAACTTCAAATCATTCTAATATAATGTATGCCTAAAAGTGTCGAACCACTTTCGAGAAGTGCAAAATGTTTTATCATTCAGTTTCCCAAGTTAACAGAAGCAGTACTTACTAATAGATGGTATTCAAAAGCTGGAAGTCTGTTCATTTGAAAGCACGCTATAATATACAGACAGACAAGTATGTTTTAATTCCTTTAGTTTAGTTTATAAGCCTTTACGAAGGAAGACCAGTAGATCGGTTATCTGTTAAATAAGCTGATTTGTGCGTATCCTTCAATAATTCTGGCCAAAAGTAAAGATATGTCGATGATTCAATTCGTTGAAAGTTATTTTATGTGATTTGTGAATTTCTGGTTGTTGGTTTTACTCCTACAAATATCATCTGTCTCTGAAGGTATATAGGCTTCTAGAATGAAAGCCAATTTGAAGTTACTAATCCTGACTTGGTGTTATTCAGTAATGAGTACGTGGCAGGGGAATTTAAGAACAAGGTGCCTATATCAAAACTTCAGATACTATCTGATAGACTTATTGACTAATGCCACACTTTGGAAAAGAACACTAAAGTTAAGGAAATGAAAAAAGTAATGAAACCAAAATGGACAAAGATTTACGTGAGAAAGAAGAGTGACATAAAAGTTAGTGAGAAGTTTCAGAATCTACGAAATGTCAAGGAGTGAAGACATTTGATTCATTGTGAATGATTTTGATGCATCTGAGAATAAGTCTCCAGCCCACGGAATGGCAGGCAGGAGTCAACCATTTCACTGTTCGCTCTCATATTTTAATCTGATTACTCAGAGTTCTTCAAAAGTTTTATAACACTTTGGCTGACACTGGTCTTTAGGAATGAATCAATTTCTGTGATATCAGAGTCAAACAGACTTACCTCCAGCATAAAACAATTTAAAAATTTCTCAGTGGTAAAGTCAAAGATGTTTCTGTTGAGATATACTGTCTTTCTGTCTTTAAATCTAAGCATTTATCAAGTAGATTTGGGGTTGGAGACAATTTTTGTATTCCTTTAAGTTCCCAGTATAACATAGGGCTTCAAGTTAGAGGCTTGAAGTTTCTGTAGCAGTGGCGTTTATTTCTACGGGATGGCGTTGCTAGTCTCATGCCCAACCTTCTCTCTTTAACAATCTTATTACCGGCTTGGCGAGGTAAAGGAGTGCTTCGGCCAGGGATCGAACTACGAACCGCCTGAGGCGTGATTGGCGAGCATTCTACTGCTGTACCACCGATTCATTTGGAGACAATATACTGATATTTATCTAAATATTTCAACTAATTTCGTAATTACTACTCTTCTTCTGACATATGTATCGTCGTTCCAACATGTCCACATATTGTAACCTGAATAATTTCGGTTTCCAAAGGAAACTGGGGTGAAATTTTACCTCGAACTGCGCAAATTGCAAGTGGCGAATTAACTGACCAACTGAGAATCCAGTCCAACGAATTACCAGTTCGCCCATGTAGCTAGCAAGAATTCGCGTGGTGTGAACCGATTCAGCCACCTGATCTGAACCAAACTGGATACATAGACGATGAGTTCATCCTTAAACGACGGAAACAGATAACTGGTCTTCACATCACTTTTATCTGGTTAGTAAGCACTACTAGTTGATGTGAGTCGTAGCTACCGACTCATATCAATCAACCACTGGCATATGGCATTATTCCTACTTTTAATGCATCACTTTGATTTGGTATGACGATCGGTCGCTGACAATGGTCTATTGTCTTGCCATAGGGATTTCGTTTTTGGAGTGACTGTTTCGCCTTGAACTGTGCACATGAAATGTGTTTTGTTCCACTTGATTCTTGCAGAGACAATTTTGATCTCATCTCGTTGGGAATATTCTAACTAATTCTCATATATTTCACTGGAGTGTCTAGGTAATTTCTTTTGTTGTACAGTGCGTATTTTGTACCAGAGAAACTTTTGAATCGTATGTCTGTCGGACAGCATTGCTGAAGTAGTTCTGTATTTTTAATAATAATAATAATAGCTTTATTCCAAACAGTATTTGTGGTACAGTTATGGAATTTTCATCGTGCATTACAATATTGCATCTAATTACCTCATAAATTTTATAAGATTTTAAAAATAAAAAGCAACAACAACAAAAGAAAAAAGATAAATAAAAGAAATAAAAAAGAACAGCATTGCATTCACATTTTAAATAATGCACCACAGGATATGAAATATAAAATTAGTGTGTAATAGAATATGTGAGCAACAATATAATAGTAACAAACAAAGGCGAACAAGAGATAATGGGAACTATTTGTTAGTGCCGCAGTAAGTTGATCGTGTCATACCTAACGGATTCCTCATCACATAACAGCTGTGCCAGATAAGGTATTGTGGAGTTTTTGTACTTGGTAGTCCTGGCATATAGCTTCCTATAGTTGCTTCTAGTTCTACCAGATGAAATGCAAGGAGAGAGCTGCGTATAGAGAGGATGCTCGGGGTCTGACAATATAATATTCGCTAGTTTCTTACATGACATTATATGTCTATCCACAATGGTGTTAACCAGTTGGTTTAACGAAATCCCATTTCCCCTACTAACAGCTTTTAGTGCCCTACGCAGCAAAGCAAAGTCTTTCTTAAGTAGTCCAGGAAAGATTAATGGGGAGCAGTAAAGAGGGGTGGTTAGAATACAAGAATTGACAAACTGAGAAAGCAAAGA